TGTAATCTGTGTATGAGCGTAATTATTGCTTTTTGTGTTTAATGGCGGAGCATTTAGCAGCAGAATCTTCTGTGCATGTAAACACAGCCACTAACCCCAGCATGAAAAGGTTTTGTTCTTGTAAGACGTAGGTAAAGATGACATGTCAAAGAAACATTTTCTGTTCAATCACCCAGATTAAGAAGTTTAGTTTGTTCAGTGTCCAGTGTTTTGTTAGGAACTTGGCTTGCACTGTTTTAAAAAAGCAATGTGCTCAAGTGCATGTGCTTTAAATAAAGAGTAAAGAGAGTATTTATGGCAAATGTGATGAGTTCACTAATTTGTTTTGCTTGAGTTAATTTAGTTTTCCTCGTTTCTCTTTGCAGATACACCAGAACAGCAAAAGAATGGACAAACAAATACGCAATGTGATGGCATCGTTTGGAAAGCTGGTGGAAAATGTCGCTGTTTGGTTCAAACTAAAAAATTCCGGGATTTTGTTTTTTCTTTTTCACTTTTTATTTCTTTTCTTTATTTTTTTTTTAAAAATCAGAGCATTTTACCTCCCCCATCCCTCCCTCCCTCCTCCCTTTTCCACCTGCCGCGCTCATAAGAAGATAGTGTTTTCTCTCTAGGACACGTGCCAGTTTCTGTGAAGTTTCTACTCCTGTTTATTATTTTTTTATGGAGTTTAAAAAAAAAAAAATCATCATGGTTCTGAACACTTGTTTGAGCATGCACCAGTAAGAGTTATTTCAACCCAGGAATTGGTGATGTTAATCATTTTACTCTGCACACACTTGGTAGAATCTGATGCGACTGGTCTCCCGACGCCGAACCATTACAATCAACCCCACGATGATCCAGTCCGTCACACCCCGGCCGGATCCCGCAGGGTTGATAACTTACTGGATTTCTCGAGAGCACTTGTAGAGAAGCCTGTCTTTTGCTATACTACTAAATTCAGAATTTTTAAAAGGTGTCAAATTGGCAAAATTCTGGTGCATTTTATTTGAAGGTGGTTAAAAAAAGAATCAAACTAAAGGGGGAGGAAGGGGAGATGCCAATTCTCTGAAAGATTTTGGGGGAAACTGGTTAGTGGCTCCTGTATCTGCCTCCTGGTCTGATGGCAGTTACGTTCTTCTGATCATTAGTATAGGAATCTATTACCCGAGGAAAAGAAGTGTATCTTATTCCACTATCAAAGTGTGTGTACAGAGAAGCACAGCAGTATATATCAATGTTAAGGAAACAAAATATAAGAACTTCAATGTTGTATTTTATGCATGTTAATAAAGGTAGGCTATTATATCTGATATGTTTCTGCAGAAATTAAGTGGATTGTAAGGTTGGAAGTTGGAAAAATTTGGTTCCCCTCAAAGGCTTTCTATTTCTTTTTGTTATTTAGAAGCCAGTAGATGAGCTATTAGTTTTATGCCCACTCGAACACTGTCTTCTTGTAGCCCTAAAATATTGATGCAAAGCTAATGGTTGATAATCAACTTGTGGCTCTTGTTTCTTTTTACTTTTCCCTTCAATAAAGTTACTTAAACCATAAGATGATTCTGAGTTATGTGTTTTATTCAAGGCATTTTTTTTTTACATATTCACTTTAAATCATTGTTGGCAGTTTGAATATTTTTAGTTGCTGCAATAACATGACTGTTATTTTGAAAAATACAAGTATAATTTTTGTGTTTCCATGCAAAAAAATGTACGTCTTACATTTATTTATGGCTGGTTATAAAGAATAGACCTGATGTGGATGTTGAATAAGAGCCACTTCATCAGTTCAAATGTGGATAATTAAATCAGTTTCTTCTCATCTCTTCTGTGACGGCTCACAGCTCATTTTAGTGTTGCATGACAAGCAATACAGATAATTAACAAATTCAAAGATAAATTATGCCTTTTCTTCTATGATAATATGCTGTTTTTATAACACGCTCTTCAAACTGATGACTACATCAATAATTACAGACGTGATGTGTTTGTACAATATTGCCACAACAGACCATTAAACCTGTGTTCATCTGTACAAGATGATTAAACTATTTAAATCTTTGATCCACAACATGACAAAACTTTGACTTTAACACTGAAAAATACACAACTAATCTGAGTAATGTTCACTTTGTGGTTCTCAGTGACACTACAAACATGTAAGATGCATTGTTGTGAACTACCCAACATTATATAAAGTACTTCAAATTAACTACATCAGTAAAATGTGAGATACACATTAATGCTGCAGTAAAAGTACTAGTAGTAGTGTATAAATCGTATTATATACTGTCAATGGTGGAAATACTCTTACAAATAAATAACATAAAGAAGTAAAAGTACTCATTATGCAGAATGATCCATTTCATAATAATATATATCTTAATCCATTAATTATATTTTGAATCTGACTCTGCAAAGCTAACAAATCAATGTATTTGAGTAAAGTACAGTATTTTGAGTATAAATTAACATAAAAATGTAAATACACATATAAAGTACCTCAAAATTGTACTTAAGTGTACTTTTTTTCCACCACTGCTAAAGATATAATATAAAGTAAAACTACAACACAGACAAAAGACCACTTTTCTGCATAATTAGTGCTTTTTCTTTTTATATTTTAAGTGTTTTTGCATACTTTTACTTAACTTAATTGTGAATGCTGGACTTTTAAATGTAATGGAGTACTTTCACAGTGTGGTGTAAGTACTTTCACTGCCTCCACTTCTCGGGGTTACAGGATTATCTCTAAAATTCATATCAAATCTTAACAAATAAAAACGACCATGTGCAACATTTCTCCCGCCAACTCAACTGCAGTCAGCTGACCGCCACCTGCTCGTCACATGACCAAACAAGGAAGTGCCTTTGCCCAGCAATCACAACAACAAAACACAACATGCTTCACTTTTAAAAGAGTTATCCCGCCACTTACAATCACTCCAGCGGACCGAGAACGATGACTGCGTGTGGAAACAGTCGTGTTTGTGTTTTCGGTGTCTTGTTGTGTTTGTTTTCCGGAGTTTTATCCGGATTTTCTTCGGTATCGGATCAAAAACAAACTCTGAGTCTGAACGGAAAATGGAGTCTGTCAGACAGCAGCGGTTCTCTGTGTGTGCCCGCAGAGGTTCCTGGCTGTGTTCACTCAGCTCTGCAGCAGCAGGGATACATCCAGGTGGGCCCCTTTAATGCATTCATATGAGCATTATTATTATTATATATTAATGAATCAGTCTTCAGTGTGTGTTTCCTTCTTATTTCACGTTTTGTAAGTACAGCAGCAAGTTCTTTATGCAGCAAGTTCTTTATGCAGCAAGTTCTTGTATGCAGTAAGTTTTTTGCAGAGATTCTTTATGCAGTAAGTTCTTTATGCAGCAAGTTCTAGTTGTTAATAAAGTGAATATGACTCCTGTCAGCTTCAATGGTGAAATTGATTTGAGTGTATTTACTCAAGTTTTGTACTTGAGTAAAAGTTTGAAGTGCTTCTCCTGTCATACTTTATACTTTTCTACCTTTATTTGACAGTTATAGTTACTTTGAAGCTCAACTTTTTACATTCAAACCACATAATCAGTTTATATGTTAGTTTATATAAGGCTGCTGTTATAGATTAACACCAACACAGTATAAAACAGACAGAATAGGTCAAATAAACATAATCTTAACCAGCTGCAGCATTAAAATGTCTAATAAGTACTTTTACTTTCAGTACTTTTAATAAAAAATGTTCCCTAATACTTGTAATGCAGTATTTCAATGTTGATGGTATTGATACCTTTAGTAACATCTCAATACTTCTTGAATCACTTTTAATTAGGTAAATATTTATTGAATGGCTGTGGTCCTTTGTTTAATTTATTTTCAGTAATTAAAGACTCTTCTCGGGCAAAAGTTTGTTTTTGTCACCTGTTAATTGTCCTTTTTTTATGTGAAATAATGTCATTACATATGAAACTAATACAAGTAGAGAGAAAACAGAGAATTCCCCAACATCTAACCGGCCTCGTTGGCTTAAAATATCCACATATAACATCGTCTATACAGGACTTTATATTTTGCAAGGAATTTTGTATTAGTAGAGTGAAATCTGCAGTAGGGAATTTTGATCTATTTCTATGTTTTCAACCCGTCAACAATAACTATTTTATCTGCATTATCCCAGTATTTTAATGTTATTTTTGCACTCCTTTTAGGCCAAAGTATCTCAGGTTCAGTATCTCCTCTAGAAGTTCAAGAAGTAATTAACCAAGTACATTTATTTTTGGTGCGTGGCTAAAAATATCTTTCTTTCCTGAAATGAAATTAAAATTAAAATGTCAGGACATGCTACAGTATCAGCAGCAGCTGTCAGTTACAACAAACTTTGAACACATTTTACAACTATAAAATAATAGATTAAATAATAAATAGTAATTCCCTTCAGCTAAATCCTTCCCTCTGCTTTCAGGACCCGTATTTCAGGTTTAACGATGTGTCTTATCGGTGGATTGCCTTTGACAACTGGACATACACAACCACATTTACTGCGTCCACCCAGCTGAGGTCAGTATGATAATTTATATAAATTTTTACATTTACAAGCATTTTCTGCATCCTGATCCTGACTCATCTGTGTGTTCTTTGCATTAACAGGACCAAACAGAAGGTACAGCTCGTCTTTGACAGTGTTGACACTGTAGCAACGATTTGGCTCAATGGAATCATTGTCGGGAAGACAGACAACATGTTCCGCAGATATGTACGTTCACCGGAAAATAAGCATTTAACAATTCACTGTATACATTATCTTCTACTTAAATGCATCATTTGTTTGCTTTCTGTTATCTGTTTTTGGTGTGTAGGACTTCTCGGTCAGAGACTTGCTGAAGGACGGCGATAATGAGCTGAGAGTTAGCTTCTTGTCTCCAGTTCTTTATGCGTCTGAGCGGAGAAAAGCTCATTCTGCCTACAGAGTTCCTCCTGAATGTCCTCCAGATGTCCAGAAGGGGGAATGTCACGTCAATTTCATCAGAAAAGTAAGTCTGCCTCTACCGCGTGTTACCTCTCCTCTGGAAACCTGAAAGCTCCAAACAGAAGTCCAAACAGAAATATTTTAGTCCACCAGGTCCCAAATCCCACCACAGTTATTTTAAAACTGTTGTAGACATCAGTAATAAGACTGATTTCAATTAAAAAATCGGTCTAAAATCCAATAATCAGAATTTTAGGCCTCAAAAGGTCTTTGACTGGATTAATGAAGTTAATGTTACTTGTATAAAGTTCCACTTTTAGTATTAATTAGTCTTGATTTTAAATGTGCTTTGGGGAAAAAATGGTATTTATCAAACTAACAACTACGAAACAGACATGGAACCAATACTGGTTTTCCTTCATATCCTTCGTACTTTTAATTTTAGTGAAAAAGGTCTTAAATTGCATTCGTAATGGTCTTTAAAAAGGTCTTAAGTTGAACTTGTTGAAGACTGGAGAAACCTTATGAGAAGGCAGGGAAGAGGATGGTTCTGATGCTAAAAAATCAGGATGATCTCCGTCTGATTTGAGTTTACTGAGATCCTCATACTGAGGTTATTTTAACCCCAACCAGCACTTCATCATTTTCTGATGTTTACATTTTAATAAAGGAACTAAATATGCAGATCATCCTTTTAGAGCACTTACATTTAAACAGTATTTATATCACTGTACGTCTAAAACTCTTTCTGTGTTGTTGAAGGAGCAAAGCTCTTTCAGTTGGGACTGGGGGCCTTCGTTCCCCACGATGGGACTGTGGAAAGGCGTTCGACTGGAGGCGTTTGATGTCCTGCAGCTCCTCCAGGTTTCCTCTGTTCCTTTATACAGTACGTCTCATTTAATCAGTTAATATTTATCACCAAACTACAGAAAATAAGGAATACTGTTAAACGCAAACAGGGATGCTCTGAGGCAAGTAAATAAATTGTTTATCAGCTGCGTAAGAATTTATGTCATTTAGCCTCATTGATATAAATGGGGTGGACAAAATAATAGAAAAACCTGAATCAACACCTGCTTAAACCAACTGCAACAAAAACCTGAACATTATAACCTAATAAATGATTTATTGGAGGACTGTTGCATTAGACTGGATGAGGGTGGCAGTGGTATACCAGTACCGTGGTATACTGTGGGAGAGCCCTGCATGGGCCAAAAACTCCAGCCCTAGCCCGTCCCTCACCCGTGGTGTTAAAGCCCTATCCTGGCTCCAGCCCAAAAACTGTTTTTCAGCCTGACCTGGCCCGAGTCCAACACCAATTAAGCTCTTTCTGATCCCCACAAACACACACACAAACACACACTATGGGGACAAGGAAGGGAGAGAAGTTAAATGAGCCTGAGTTCGACCCAAGACCGCTCTATAAATGTTAAAATCCTGATGGGTTATCATACCGTATACGTTTGCTTATCTACAGTATTGAATTCTACCGTATTAGTGTTATTAAAAAATATAGGACATAACATTTTTTGAAATTATAATAAAGCTGTCACTGATGATGTAATACTGTTATACTGTCAGACAGTTATTGTACCATGAAAATCTCATACCATTGCAACCTTAGACCGGATGAGGTTTAACTAGTTGTACCTAATAAACTGTGTGTAGAGGGATTTTCTTTTTTTAAATCTTGTACACAAATATATAAATACAAATTATTCCTCCCAAAGTTGTATAACTGAGCGAATAATTGCATTTTTACTTAAAGCCTTTATAATCTGTTTGTCTGTCTAGATTCCAGCCTCTCTCAGTGGAGACTCCAGGTTGAGCTTCTTGTTGATGCGGTTCAGACGACAAATGGCCGAATCACGCTCTCCATAGCTGAGCTGGACTCAGAGCAGACCTTCCAGACACAATTTCTCCCAGGAAAGACCAAGAACAGCTTCACTTTACACATCAACACGGTACTGAGAGATTGTTGTGTACAGTGAAATTAAAGTTTCATCTTAAAATGTTGGTTACTTTTATCTTAATAACTGTATGTTGTGGCAACTGTGTGAGCAACAGTCCTACTAAACTGTATTGAAAGGTATCACTCTTGTGAGTGTGTTGTGACAGCAAAGACTCTTCTTTAGTATTAAATCTGTTTTAAGAGCTTTTTCTTCTTCTTCCAGAGTAGCCAGGTGAAACTGTGGTGGCCCAACGGACATGGTGACCAACCCTTTTACCATCTCTCTGTCGGAGGCTTTCGGGATGGGTTTTTAATCCTGAATACAAATTCTAAGGTCAGAGTTCACTGCCTGTCAACTCCTGTCCTTGTATTTTATTTAGGTATTTAACTGATGTGCAACAGTAGAATCAGCTTAAATTCCCAGTTTGCTGACATCAAAAGCTAATCATATCTTCACTTCTTCACTCTGAAAACAGGACAGATAATATGAGAAAGATGGAACTGCTTTTTATTTGTAGCTTCGACATTCAACAGGAGATGAGATAATTCTCATTGGCCAAGATTTTTTGTAAAAACTCATTTATAGATGTCTTACAGATGTAACTCACAAGGTGGGGCTGTAATAGTGAAACAGAGAGAAGTATCTTTCATGTTCCAGCCAGAGTATTTAAAATTCTGGTGTTGTTATGTACACCTTTCCGCCAATCTGATATGTTTGTTTAATACATCTTGAGTTTCACACTACATGACAAACAAAAAGTTCTTCCTCTACATCTTCACATTTAGAATAAAAAAACACTTTATTTCATTTCTAGACTAGTTTAGTAGTCAAAGTCCTATAGGAAATACAGGTATGAAAAGTCTAGATTATAATACACAGACACCACATCATACAGAATATCTATAAAGAGCCAATAAAACAGCTAAATTAAAGATAAACCTGACTCAGTCTGAAGGATTAACATATTTTTCCATCAACTATAATGTATATTACTATATACATTGATTTGATTAGTTCTGATTAACTGAAGTAAGGTTCTCCATGTAGGAAATCAAACTTATGAACTAAATTTAAACTGTACAGATGTTTTTTCAGGCTTGTTGAGGGTGGTCACATGTGCCGCAGAGACGAGACTGAATTGATTGACGTCTTTTTAGTGTTTCGTGTTTGATGAAAAATGTGTCCTGCAGGTGTATTTTCGCACAGTAGAACTTGTCCAGGAGCCAATTGTTGCGTCTCCAGGACTGAGCTTTTATTTCCGCATCAATGGGAAACCAGTTTTCCTCAAAGGCTCCAACTGGATCCCCGCCCACTCCTTCCAGGACCAACTCACCCCTGCTGTGTGAGTTTAGTTTGAAAAGCTGCTTTTTAAACTGTTGCACTTGAGTGCTGCCTGATGAGGGGAATACTGATTACTAATTATGATGATATTCTTAGGGAAACTACATCTTCTTTTTTCCTCCTTTCTGTGTCTTTGTATAGATTTTTTTTCTGACTTTGAATCACATAACAGGCGTAGAGTTTTGACCTTGTTTCAACTGCTGTGTTTCCGTTATGAAATACATTAATCCTGCCACTACCGGCTCTCTGCTTTTTCTACAGCTTAAGGAACTTGCTGCAGTCAGCTGTGGATGCTAACATGAACGCCCTCAGAGTCTGGGGAGGAGGAGTGTATGAACAGGACCTATTCTACAGCATCTGTGATGAGATGGGAATCATGGTAACTACTGTCATCCTCTAGTGATACCAGTATTACTTTACTTATCTATATAACCACTAAAAAATAACAAATCTCTCTATGAGACTTAACACTTTGTTAACAGGTGCTATCAGCAATATTTTAACAAAAATGAACCCCCTAAATCATTAAGCTGTATTTATTTTCATTATTATTATTAGTTATAAAACAGAAGACCATCATCAGCATAAAAAGAAATCGAAAGCATATTGAGGAGCAATGTAACAAAATGTTGGATACAATTCAGAATACTTTGTTCACAATGTGATTTTCTCAGTTTTTTTTAGATTGACAGTAAATTATGACTGAAAAAGATTCCTATGTTTCGCCCATGTGATTTAATTTTATCTGATTATTCTGTCAGATAACACAATTGGTATAATAATAATTAGTTAATTGATAATTGACATAACATAAATCTAGGACACTGTACATATGCTATAGTGAAACAAAATGTCAGTGTTATAGGATTTGTTAAAGTCTGAATGTGTGGAACCCTGTTTATTCACTGAATGTAACATGCATTTTGACAAAAAAAAAACAACAACAAACATCTGGACTTTGTTGCCAATGTGTTCCCTTATAAAAAAGAAGCCCTAAAATAATGTATATTTGTATATCTTGGTTTACTGTTTTATTGTGTAATGGGCTTATGGTCTTTGCATTATTAGGAGTACTTGTGTACTGTACAGTCCATATTAGCATTGATTCAATTTGTCTAGTGGGAAACATATTTTAACAGCCTGATGCAGATAAAAAGACTCACTGTTACATAGCGTTACAGAAGAAATTACAGTTTGAGGACAGATGACTGAATTTCTGTATGATTTCTGATTGCGTAACCCCACTATGACTCATGAACATACTGTAGAACAGATGGATGCTCAAACTGTTTAGTTATGTGTCTTTAGGTTTGGCAGGACTTCATGTTTGCCTGTGCGATGTATCCGACTGAGGACGACTTCATACAGACAGTAAGAGAGGAGGTCATCCAACAGGTGAACTGTGCATTTATTTTATTAAACTACTTAGAACCACATAGAAAGATTAAGATAATGGTATTTCAAGTTCAGTTTTTCTATCAAAGCACATTTTTAGACAAATTAACCAAACCAAAACCTTATTTGTCACCTTATTTGATTGTGTCACCACTGTCTGAAATGATAAAATAACAAACGGCATTTCAAGGCAGTTAAAGTTGTTGTTGCATCCTGTATCGACAGTAAATGTACCCTTGTCTTGTGTCTTACTCATCAGGTTCAGCGCCTCAAGTCTCATCCTTCCATAATAATCTGGAGTGGGAACAATGAAAACGAAGCTGCTCTGGCAACAGACTGGTTCAGCATCCCAGTTTCCCAGAGACCTCTGTATCTGAAGGATTATGTGACGCTGTATGTGAACAACATAAGGGCGATAGTTCAAGAGGTGAGGGTCAAATCGTATGTCATGTCAAAGGAAAGTTGTCAGGATTTATGTTTTAAAAGGTTACAGATCATTTGTTGAAGGTGTAATATTCGGTGTGGTGGTTTAGTGTCAGTGCTCCTTCTAAGAAGTGTCTAATATCTCCATCAGGAGGACCAGAGTCGCCCATTCCTCGTCTCCAGTCCGACAAACGGGGCCGAATCGGAGCAGGAAGGATGGGTGGCAGCGAACCCTTACGACCCTCACTACGGGGACACACATTTCTACAGCTACATCCTGGACTGCTGGGATTGGCGGAACTTCCCTCGAACGCGCTTCGCTTCTGAATACGGCTTCCAGTCCTGGCCTTCCTTCTCCACTCTGCAGCCGGTGACTGAATAAACCTTCCACTCATACTCCGTTCTTGATGATTTAATCAGAAGATTTGTATTAAGAGGATATTTTCTAGAGGAATCCTCTCGAATATTCGCTGGAGATAGTTTCAGACTTGATAGGATTCTGTCGCCTTTGTGCCAATTTTTAGCAGATTTTGATTGATGGGCCGTCCAAAACAAGAACAATAACTAATATAACAATAACTACAAATATATCTTTTTAAAAATTGTCCACACCACAACTGTAACAACCACAATGGAAAATTATGTTTTTGTGATCACAATATTGTAGTATGCAACTTATTAAATGCTCATATAACATAATTTTAGGGTCCTAAGTCAAACGGTCTTTAGTGCTGATGGAGTCTCTGAACTTGATTTGATCCTTACTTTTTTTTACTAAAATATGAATAAAAAGTGTCTTCAAAAGATGACAACTCTCGTAACTCCTCTAGTCTTTAAGAACTTTGTGAACCCATGTTTCCCTGAGGCAAGGATACAGTTGGACAACTACAAATACTACTGCTACTAACACTTATAATAATGATATTTGTTGTGTTTCACAATGTGAAATAGCCCACACTGTACAGAACAGATCAAATAAGATAAAACCGTGAAGGTAAAATAATTTAGATTTAAGATTGTGAAATTATTACAAAAAGCACATTAAAAAACAGGTGTTAATGGGTAGATGCTGTTTTTTTTTTTAGTTGGTGTAAAGTTTCTGTCTGTTTTGTGATATTTCAGGTTTCCATTAAAGAAGACTGGAGCTACACCAGTAACTTCACTTCCCATCGTCAACACCATGAGAATGGAAACCAGCAGATGTTACTGCAGGCGGGTTTACACTTCCACCTGCCAAACTCCACAGACCCCTTGAAAAGATTTACAGATACTCTCTACATCACTCAGGTAAACAGCTCTCTCCTCACGTCGGATACTTTAAAGCTGCACGGGGGCAAGTTTAATGCACAGGTTCAGTAGCTTCATATAGAAGAATATGGACTTCAGCACCTGCGTACGTAACATGAAAACTGTACATTTGTTTATCATCCTGTGACCACTGAGGAAACAGTGAGTTAGGTTGTCTTTTTTCTATTTTATTTTGACATCTCACAGTAGGAAAAGTACATAAAAATATGGCTGAATTCCATCTTAATTGCCAAATTAAAATAAAGAACACATCTTTTATCAACTTTCCTAGCCTTCTTTCAAGCCTACATGAGTATGTATAATTATTTAAGTCATGCTGCCTCTCTACAGAGAACTATAAAAAACATACCTAATACCTGAATATAATTTTAATATAATATAAATATGAATATAATTTGGATTAAGAATCTAAATTTAAAACAGGTTAATGGGCAGAGATCTCTTTTAATTCAGCTGAGCTTCAGAACAATTTCCTCTTTGTTGGGAGAAAAATATATGCTGAATAAAAGCTGAATAATCATCACAACTTTATAGTGTATTTTAGGCTATTTTGTGGCAATTACCTTAAATTTATGTTTAATATATATGTTTTTATTTAAAGTAGGTAATGGGTTTTAGTTTTTTTAAATACAGACTAAATCATTTGACAATATTAAAATGATCTGCTGTGCCAAACATGTTAGGAACACTTCCTGTAAACCATCCAACCGATGATTTAAAGACTGCGATCATGTTTCCTGTGCAGGTCATGCAGGCTCAGTGTGTGAAGACTCAGACAGAGTTTTATCGGCGCAGTCAGAGTGAGATCATCGAGGGAAAAGGTCACACTATGGGTGCTCTCTACTGGCAGCTCAATGATATCTGGCAGGCGCCTTCCTGGTCATCGATCGGTGAGTGAACACCTACTCAGTAGACACTCCTGCATTCAGCACTTTGTAGAGATTTAGCACTGGGAAAGTGGAGGTTTATGATCAATTTAATAACTTCTTGCTTATAATCAGAGGTCACTGTTGCAAAACTAATCGCATATTATGTTCTTGTGTGTCTGTGTGTGCAGAGTTTGGTGGGAAATGGAAAATGCTGCATTATTTTGCACAGAGCTTCTTTGCCGCCGTCCTTCCTGTCGGCTTCGAGGATGACGACACGTTGTTCATCTACGCTGTCTCAGACCTGACTCATGACCTGAAGCTCAGAGCTGTGGTACGTTTCCATTGGTAAACTGTCTTTACATTACATTCGTTTCAGTCAGATGAAACTCTAAATGACAAACTGGAAGTGCATCTCTCCAACTCAGTAAGACAGAGAAGGTGTTTACAGTTGCATCGTAATGCAGTGCAGACAATAAAACCAGAATAAAACATAACAAATTAATATAAAACAGGATTACAAAGCAGATATGTCATTGAATTTTTGTTGTTACTGTTTCATACATTACTTTGGTTCTCATTTCCTCCCTGTGTAGTTCCTGTTAACCTCTGCTTTTTTTAAGGTTGTCAGTGCAGAAATTTATCAAAATAAAAATAGAAAGACAGTTTCCAAAAGTACATTTAGCACTAGAGTTTTAACAATGTGGGTTTTGATGACCTGTACTGTATATTTTTAGATTTAAGCTGCTAACATGTGATTGAAATGAAGATTTTCAGGTTCAATCCTAGACACAGAAACAAAACTATTAGCACTCAACACCTAATCTAAACCATCTAAACCAATTATTTTTGTTGGTTTAAAAAAATATAAAGTTTGTTTCAGTGTGAAAATTTATCATTAATTTAGCGTTTAAAAAAAAGTAATTTTATCCACATTCTATGATTCTAATAAAAACGACATATTTTTGCTCAGCCTTACATACAATTTAGAAATGTAAATTTAAACTTCATAACTGGTTAATTCTATATAAATGTGTGTGTTTAATATTGTTCTGATACATCAGCAGAAACAGGTCTGTTCTTTTGTCGATCAGGTGAACGTGTACTCGTGGACTGATCTGGATCCTGTCTGCACGCTGAAGTCAGACCCGCTCCTGGTCCCCGGAGGCAGCGCCACGGCCATTTTTAAACAGCTGGTCGCCGCCCTGCTGGCAGGATGTGGACGCTGCACTCGCCTCACCTGCCTGCTCACCTTCCACCTGGAGGACAGCAGCGGCCAGCAGGGTCCCACCAACCACCACTTCCTCTGCTCACCCAAAGACGCTCAGGGACTCCAGAGACCAAACATCACAGTGAGACACATTGTTGAAATCTCACTTTACTACTTCTATCTATTTATTTATTTATACAGAGATTAAGCATTGTATGGAAGCACTGGTGTGAGTCCATTAATGGAAAGTGTGCAGGGGAGCGACACATTGATGATAATAAAGTTACTGGATGGCAGGGATACTTTTAAACAATGACATTGGGTTAAGTTAATGAACAAACTAAGAACTAGGATCCCTGATGTGGCAGAATAAGATGACTTTAATGTCTAGCTTCTGTGCACTGCAGAGAGAAGTTGACAAAGATATAATAAAACTGAGTTTTCAGGGCACTTTAGAGAGTATTTTAAAGGTATTTCCCCCATAAATTTGTCTAAGATGAACAAGACTGAAGCAATAGCGGTCAGATAAAGGTAGTTCTTTACAATAATAGACGACTCTCCTGATTCCTGAGCTTCACTTTTATTCAGCTGATAAACTGAGGTAATGAATTTCAGAGAGAGACAAATAAATTCCAAATCATTTCATCAAAAACAGTATGTTCAATGCTGATCTGACTTTATTTGAGTGGCATTTTTGCCCTCATTAGTAGAGTGTTAGTAGAGATACAGACAGGAACTGTGTTAAGAGAGTGAGAAAGGAAAGACGAGCAACAAAAACATCGTCAATCAGACTTGGACTAAAGTGGACACTTAAAAAATGTTGTTTACTTGCTGCTGATTGCGTCATGTGTCACTCGTGTGTGTTTCCCTGCAGGCCGAGGTACAGGAGGATAAGACCGGCTACACAGTTACCCTCCACTCTGCCTCTGTTGCTCCTTTTGTCTGGCTCGACATGGGAAACATTCCCGGACGCTTCAGCTCCAACGGCTTCCTGATGGCTTCTAGAAACAGGACGGTCAGTTTTACCGCATGGCGTCCCACCAGCGTCGCTGAGCTGTCCAGATCCCTCACCGTCACATCTTTAAGGGACATATACTGACCTGAGACCAGTCCACAGACGGACAAAGTGGGACTATACTGTAACTGAGATAACTAAGATACTATTACTGAGATTGGTGGATTCTTGAGTGTCAGAAAGATATTTTTGTACTGAAACTGATGAAGTCGATCCTTTTTCTAAATGTTTAAACTTGTTCTCTTGGCAAACAATCAACAGAAAAGCCTCAGAAAATGTCTTAGTCCATCGTGGGACATTAAAACAAAGGATAATTTTAAGTGTGTTTGCAGCTCTTGACAAACGGGTGACCCACTGTATTAAATCACTATCAGCTATCACACAATGGGGTTTTACTTGAAGCACTCATTCACACACAATCCACCAGATAAAGGAAGGATAAGTGTAACGACCAATACAATATTGATAAAGGTTGAACAGGTCAATATGAGCCTGGTTTAAGACCTCTTAATCTCCCACATCTTAGATCTTTATCTACTGAAACTGATCATTAATTGATTGCTCTTTCACTATCAGGACAATACATTTTCAGTATTAACAACGACATGAATCAAACTCTTAAGATCACGTCCTGCACTACTCAGTTGTTTGCTATTCTAAACAGGGAACATTGAATCCGAACTGGGTTTGATTTTTACAGATTATTGTGTTTTTGTGAACTTAAAAAAATAGTTTTCTTTTGTGTGTTTTGCTTTTTTTGCACATCTCTGAGATAATTCACCGAACAAAGATTAATACTTGACATCGTGGATGTGTTTGTACATTACTGTCCAACATATGTTTTATATTTGTACATAGTTGAACAAAATGTGTGAAGCTTTCTTTGTGACATTAAAGTATTTTATTCTGTTGATCATCCGTGTTATAAAAAAGTCCTAATTACATCAGTTGTGCTTATAAAAATCAGACTTTATTGATCCTCAGTGGAGAGAATTATGTGCGTTATCTATGTGCACATAAGACAGAGCAGATAAAGACCCAAAAAGGATAAAAACAGTGACAAGAATATTTAAAGGAGACAATAAGTAGACAAAAACAAAACAATAAACTGAAGTTATAATAATCTGTATACAATAATAACCTAGATTAACACAGTAAGACTAAGATTTTACATATCAAGTTAAGTAGTTATGAAGAAAACTTACTCATTCTGAAGACATTTGTATATTTTCTGTGGCTGATGGAGGAAGAATTCACATCCTTAAATAAAATTACTGATAGTTACAAGTGAAAGTCTTTTTATTTAAAATGTAAATATATATAAGTATATTTCTTAGTTACATCCCACTACTGAAACAAACTATTGATGGACGCTGTTATGGAAAAATCTAACATCCAACTCATTAGGATTATTAGTGTTACTCACACATCCTCCAACCTCATAGGAGTGCAATACTAAGGCGCTGGAGTTTTCCAGTTTTCCAGTTTTTTACAGTTTTCTTATTAACGCTTTAATTAAACTTAACTGAACATGTAGACACATATAAACTGTTACACTTAAGTTATGTGTATATAATAGTTCTATGTTTATGTTTACCTATGTTTGTTCAGCTTTGTTGTCCTTGTTCTTAGCCGTAGGTTAATATTTGTGTAAATACATTGAAAACAAATAGTATTGTGTACAGTTTTAAACTGTTTAAAATAATTTGCCCCAGTGCTACCTCACTTCTATATGACTTTAATTGTCTGACTTAGCCTCCTGATATTATATGATATAATAATGTGCCATGTAAGGCAACTTTTTAACTTTGTTTTGAAAAGTGCTGTATAAATAAAGTTTAAGATGAGATAAACTGAATTGATCCCACACTGGGCAAATTAGAAAATACACATTAAATAAAATAATAGAATAGAAAAATATAATAAAAATAGTTTAGAGGAAATATAGGCCATAATATATGTATGTAAAACAGCAAAGTAAAGTATTAAATAGGCTGCAAAGTGACTGTTATGTTGTCAGACGTTAGAGACATTATTATATCATCATCATTATTATTATTATTACATACTTTGCTGTAATCTTTGTTTGGCTCTTTGAAACTGCGTTGACCACCAGCGGCCACAAGGTGGCGACAAAGACATTTAAACACAACCTCACGTGTTTATGAGGTTTTTAACTTCCAGCTGTTTTCATAATTGAACCGGAGACGCAGCTGTACACTGACTCACACTGAGTTATACAGCCGGCCTGTTTGTCCCCATTCACACAGTCACCTTTCACACACACACACACAACACACACACACACAGGAGGGAGACCCTTACAAGTGTGTGTGTGTGTGTGTGTGTGTGTGTGGGTGTGTGTGTGTGTGTGTGTGAGGACGTTGCATACCAAGTGAGAAAGTCAGTCACAAAAGAAAGCATTGAGTGCACGCGGTCGGTCACCTCCATTTTCCCCCTCATGCCTCTGCAGACTGAACTTTGAACCTGACCCAGCTCCGACAGTCCTGATAGATCCACTCAGAGCTCATGAGGAGACAAACTGCTGCTCCCCAAAAATAACTTCATCAGGTTCTGAGGGAGGGTGAAAACATAAAAGGGACAAAGGCGATTCCTGCTCCCGGCTGAGCCATGGATCTGATTGTGGACTGCCTACAAATTGCAGGGACATCCTGATGTTTGTGTTCTGAGTGAAGCAGCTTTCCAGAGGAGCAGAAGAAAAAGCAGATTAGTTCACTGAAGGAATTTAAGAAAAAAAAAAAACCAAAATGTTTAATTTAGGATGTTTTATTGGGTGCGTTTTGATTTTTATTCCAAAGTCCCAGAGTGTGCGTGTGGTCGGCCGGGATGGACAAGGCTTCCTGGAGAATATTTTACACTTTTATGGTGAAAATTCATCCATCACAACGGAGAATCTGGATGATTTACTGCTGCTCATCTCAGCCAGGAGGTCTGAGTCAATACTTGAAGGAAACCCGCTGGCAAACAAAGAGGTGAACTATTTAGATTTATTACTTTTTACTATTTAAACTTATTACAGAAATAAAACTGAATGACTTTAGAACTGATTTCTTATACGTGTAGTCATAGTTTATACCCAGAACTCACTTATAACTCACTTATTAAATTGTTATTTTGTTAATATATTATTATCTGACTGGCTTTTGTAGTTAAATGCTTATTTTTAACCAAATATGTGTTTTTTATGCATATTTTATGTCATTTTTCCATATTGTCTTTGTTTTGTTGCTAGTAGTTTTTGCTCTTTTTTGCAACAATGCATTCAAAAGCATTTCTGTGTTGAATTAGGCTTTATAATAACATTATATGTGTATAAGTGTTACTCTTCTCTGCTGTACTTTGGGCTAACTTCATAGTCTTCAGTTATTAATGGTTCCTATTTGATCACCTGCCAACAATAATAATAACAAAACTCAACATATATATCACATTTCATACAAGAATACTTCAAATAAAAACACATAAAGGAATATATGAGTAATAGGAACATTAAATTAACAGCATGAAGTATTTTAGCGACAGAAGAGAGATTTAAAAACATGTCTAATAACGTCTCTCTGTCCCTCAGTGTCCCTCGGCCGACCAGATCTTGTCCCACTTTGGGTTCAGTAATGTCAGTCAGCTGACTGTGGGACATCTGGGGAAAATCTGCCCCGCTCTGTTGACCCAGGTGCTGCTGCCCTCCTGCCCCTATGTCACCCCCACGCCCCAGCCCCCTCTGGACTACACTGGTGAGTTGCTTCATCACTACACTGGTTTATTTGTTGAGGATCCCCTGCAACTCAAATAATTCACAGGTCATGCAGGTTTGTTGCCTTGAATGAGGTCTGGCAGTGGTTCTATCCCACCTTAAAGACAGCTGGGTGGCAATTTATTCTTGCTTGTAAAACCTGAAACAAAACAACAACAACAACAACAACAGGATGTGAAGTTTCTTTTGATTCAGCTGTGAAGTCGAGGGTTCAAATCAGAGCTGCCTGAGGTCGACCTTCCTAACTTTAACTAACCATTAAAACCTGTGACGCTGAACAACTTTCTTCTTTTAGACTCTTTAAATGACAGGAAACATAGTAATTACATTGATTTTCTGTTTTTAGATTCTTATATTTTATTAATTTATTACTGCAACATAAAGTCAGTAAACTAAAGGAAATCTGGTACTTTCCAGGTGTCGTTAAGTTTAAAAAATACCACAAATAGTTTGAAAAAAAGTATGAAAAATGTTTTATTTTAGTTTAAATATGATGTCAGATTGACTGTTTTTCCCCATTTTTGTTATCCCACATATCCTGATACTTCTGGCTCTTAAGAATAAATTAGGGTGACACACAAATCAAAGCAGGAAATTAGGAAATGGAACAATAATTGAAAACTGATCCTGCCATAGCTGATTAAATAATAATTTCAGTTGTATCACACAATCTTCTCTGTGCACTCGTGTCTTTTCATGGAATTTATTTCTGTTGTTTTGTGCATTTAAGAACAAGATTTAAGATTATTTTTAACCCCTTAAGTCCTTAAAGTGCTCAGAAAAACCTAAATTAGAACATCTACAATTCCATGACTACTGAACAAAGTACATCCTGAAGAAAACTGCGTGATAGGATAAAAAGCTCCAGAAGTGTCACTAAATTTAACTCGTTATGCTGTTTCCAAGGTCAAGGATGACGTTTGAATCTCAGTCTGTTTTAGTTTCTGTTTTTAACACCAGAAAGCAAAACTGGAAACATTTAAATGTGGAGGTATAATGGATATTCAGACATTTGTCTTGTGTGTATCTGTTTGTGGATTTAAAGCACATACAGACACAATGAGGTGTAAAGACAACAGGCTGCATGAGTTGGTAAAATTAATATTTGAGGTTTAATTCCACAGCAGAATATACTGCTAAAGTTTTAATATGGTTTAATAAGTAGTAATCTGTTATTGTTAATTTAGTGGCTTATTCTACTGTCAGGAGTACCGTCGTGCAGAATATAAACCATTTATATTGTGCAAATGTAGTAAAAACAGAACCAACAACCAACAAAATACTTTACAATAGCTGTATAAACACTGTAAACGGATGTAAAAACAAAGTGTTTAAGTAGATATTTCTCAAACGTTCTGTTGTACAAGAATAAAGAGTCCCAGCTGTTGTTTCAGATATGCACCAGAATGGCAGCATATAAAACAATTCATGTCATACAGGAAGTTTAAACCGGTTATAGCGGTTCATATGGTACATCGGCAAAGCACTACTGTAAACCCGTCATTCAGAGCTGCTCTGATTGGTGGGTTGTAAATGAAAATGCATGTAACTCCTGGATCATCACATTTGAATCTGGACTTTTGTCTCAGGTCTTTATTTCTCAGTCTTACTTATCTGTTTCCACTAATGACTGTCTGATAAAAATGTCCACAAATAAAACACGGTCATCTCCTGTGGAGGAGCCATAACTCTCCACAATGTCCTGGATTGACTCACAGAGCCACTGACCTCTCTGATTCACCGTCGAACGCTCCTCCTCGGTGCTGTTGACACACAGTTACGGCCAACTGTGACTGTTGTTCAGAGTTCTGATCACGATGCACGCTGTTTCCTCACCGGTCTCTGTGAACAAAATTCCTCCTCTGCAAATAAATAGCATTGTGTTACGAAAAAACTTCTTGTTTGGTAACTCTGTCATATATAAAAATAAATGGGACATAATGTAGCTTTTCAAGGTGCAGATCTTCCATGATGGAGGGGGCAAATGGTGCTGGGTGTTTGTGGATACTTTTTGTGGCCTGTTATGTTGTTAATTTCTACATTTTCTACATTTTAGTGTCTTTCACACAGTAAAACCATCTAGAAGAACATTTGTGGGTTGCTAACAGTGTCTGAGGAGTGAGCAGTTCCTTCACACATCAATTCATTTTGCAGTCCAAACAATGAAACTGTATTTTCAGATCAGGATCAGGTTGTTCAGTACAACCACAACACAAAGTCTTATACCTTCAGTCACTGTTATCTAAGAGCAGGACCCTGGCCGGATTGTGAATACAACCTGAGAGGAAGTCCTACCTCACAGACTCAATTTAGGGAAAAAATAAGTCCCAAAAGAGCAGAAGACCTCCAATATGGCCGCCAATAGATGTCCTGCATGACCTTAAAACCTCTACAGCTGAAATATTTTACATTTGTTGCCTTAAACACATTCCTGAGAAACAAAATCAGCATTTTACAGTTTGTTTTATTTCTTTTTTTTGAACTTTTTTAATTTACGCATTTACATTTATACAAGAAAGACACACAGAATCGGAACCGAACAAACACAACAACAACAAAAAGTACAGAATGAGCGTGTACTCGACCTTTATATGGGGGCCCAAGCTCACATAGGCTACTCAACAATTAGTTTCTAATGAATTGAAGATTCAAGAGAAGATGAAAAGATAAGCGGTGACACTGTATTTAACTATAGTTGAATAAATAAAGAGCTTAAAGATGACTTCACTTCTCAAAATGGATGCAGACACACCACAGAAATGAGCCTAAAGCATTAAATATGTCAATAAACCTCTCTTTGACATTCTAATGTTCATTGTAAGTAACTGTTTATTCTTTAATTTCTGCGCTGCCAGTGTGGGGTTACGGGTTTCTGGCGGTCACTGTGATCAACCTGGCGTCTCTGCTCGGTCTCCTGCTGATCCCCTTCACCAAGAAGTCCTACTTCCCCAAAGTGCTGACCTACTTCATCGGCCTGGCCATCGGGACGCTCTTCTCCAACGCTGTGCTGCAGCTCATACCAGAGGTTTGTAAGAGGTGGAGTGGGTTAAATGAAGTCAAACAAATGCCTGTTTTGAGTATGTTTTAGAGCTTGATAAAAGGGAGGTATTGTATAACTAACACTGACATTCTCCTGTTAATCCACAGGCTTTGGGTTTTGATCCCAAAACTGATAACTACGTGGCGAATGCAGTCGGAATATTTGGAGGGTTTTATGTCCTTTTCTTCATGGAGAAGGTCCTGAAAATGGCTCTCGGGGTAGAGCATGAGGTAAGATTACAGTTCAGTAAGTCGGTTTATCAGGTGCAAAGCACTTTTCTTTTATTGCTGTGAGTGATATCATTTATTCCGGTTGTATAACTGCCATTAATACCCCTGATTTATTAACTAATTTGGCTGCTAATTAGTGACTGTGACGAGAACACGGGAGTCACGTACATTATTTATGTTTTAATATTTTTGCACACGGGTCAGGGTCACAGGGTTTGTGATTTATATGACAGAATACCTTTACCTTTAAGTTTTTTTAGCCAACAAAAAACAGAGTTTGATTAATGGCAGCAGCCGGTTAGCTTAGCTTTGTCCCCGTAGGATGAATACTTCTGACTTTGCTGATCCTCTGACTTTTTCCTTTAGCGCCACCATCAGGTTGACATTTGTGGTTTTGAGTGAAAAATCTCAACTACTAAATACCATTAAATTTGTCCAACACATTCATTTCCCCCTTTAATGAACTAATAATTACTATGGCAATCCCTTATTTTTTCCTCTAGCCACATAATCAGGTAAAAATGTTCATCTTTGCAATAGTTTAAATACCTGATAAAACCAATTTGAAAACTTGAGCTGACTTTGAAATCTTGAAACTAGATTTAAAGGTTTGTAGTGATCATAAAGTCTGCCTATTTCTTTCAGCCTGTACTTGGATATGCTACGTGCTAGCCTCGTCATGAAAAAAAGCACATTTTGAAGCATTTTGCTAAAGTTAGCTAGCTAACTTAAGACTTTACTATATCTATATGTCACTTTTATCTTTTAAAGATCCAGTTTGCAACATTTATGTATGTTTTTATTAGTGTAAAATCACCTCTATATAGGAATCATTGTGTTTTTGTCACCTTAGAATGAGACGTTTTTATCTAGGGACATGTTGAACTGGCATGTTTCTGGCTGTAAACAGGGCCTGTCAGGTTTTTCGCAAGTTTTACAGCTACCGTAGTTTCTCCACATCCTGTTCTCATTCGTCAAACACAGATGCGAGGTGTGTTCAGTTGGTTGCAGAGTGCAGCTTCACTGCTAGATGCCACTAAATCCTTCACACTGGTCCTTAAACCTGGCCTAGCACATAGCATATCTAAGTAAAGTCCAGGAAAGGAGAAAGCTAACAGAGGTTTCAACTGTAGTTGAAGCACAGAGTAAGACTTAGAAGGGGTCAATTCATTATTATACATCCACTCTCTCCTGTTTATCTGACTCCCGTGTCTCCATTGTCTCCAGCATGGCCACAGCCACTTCACTCCTGCAGAGCTGCCTCAAGAAAACTCCCTCCACAATGGAGACATACTGGAGAAAAAGGACTCCATCGTTTTGACCAGCATCAGCACCATCGCCACAGACAAGAGCAGCCCGAACCCAGAACCCCCGCGTCCTATCGTGACACCTTCTCAGGTAACAGTGCACACTCACGTCATCTGTAACGGTAATAAAATAACGAGGGTGAATTAAACAGCCCACATTCTTGGGATTGAGCAACTCCCTCTGCGCACATGTCACATTAACCTACACAGCAGTCAACCTTGTACTCAATCGTCTTTTATCTTATTAGTAGGTAAGTCTTTAAGCTATAAACAGTGAGTTTTCTCTGGAAATCTTATCTTAAGTAATTGCATGCTCGACAGAGATTTGCAAGCCGTCACTATCACAAAAAAAACACATGACCGGAATTCATCAAGATTCGCGACTGTATTTTAAACATCTTATCAGTCATCAAAGAGGGAAATCCTGCAGACGTAAACAGTATTACAAAATATCTCCAAACAGGATGAAGTGGCCGGAAGGAGGTGATTTTAATGCGGTTTGGACTCACTTCTTTAGTTTCTCTGCAAGCTCAGATGCTTAGGAGTCATTTATTGAGCTGTTATCAGGAGCACATGTAGGGCATTTAGTGCTGCTGTTAATATTTAACAGTGAAATCTCTTGTGTCCTATGGAGGAGTCTGGCTTTGAAGGGATCAAAAATACTAAACAAACAGACATGCTGCTGTCACAGAGGGGATCGAGCAGTGAAACCAAGCTGAAGGTCTCAGATCCTTCCCCTCCTGGTAAATGCTGGAACTGTCTGGTGTGAGCACAAAGACTCCTTGTTTGGCCCATGGCTAATAAAAGGGACGTTTTGTCACTGCAGAGTATCTTCAACCGAGCTCCAAAATGCTCTGTTTATGTGCGCCTGTTTCTCAGGTTTCCCATTAAAAACACTCATGCCATTATATTTGTAATTGAAGAGTTTCGTTGCGAATGCTGCACATTCATTTAGGGGAAAATATTTCCTGTATTTGATCATCAGTCGGCTATCTGTTACAATTTGTGGATCCAAGATGGACACGCTCTGTTGATAAAAAGCCTTTAGTAAGTAAGATTTCCTCAAAGTCTTTATTTAATCATGTTCATGGCTCTTTGGATTACACTTTGGTCAATTATTGAAGTGAAATCTTGTACAAACATTCAAGATCCCCAGACTTACCTGTAGCACCACCATCAGGTTTTGTGCCAAATTTCATGTCCTCCTCAAGATGAATTGTAATAGGTTTGGTGATCCCTTAACTCAGTGGTTCTCAACTTCAGGGTCTGGACCCCCACTAGGGATTGCCAAGGCTTCACAGGCAAGGCTTTCTTAATTTTAAGGGGTGCTACAAAACGTATAATATTTACATAGTAGGCCTTTTTTCTCAGTATTTGGTACATTTCTGTAGGTAAGTAGATTGCCTAATAGAAGAATGGCCAAGAGTCAGGGACAAGAAAACACTGAATTCGTCAAAAAAGAAGCCTAGTAAGTATTTATGACTTCTTTATGATGTCTTGCAGTTGTTTAATTGTACAGTTTTGAATATAATATCCATAAAATATGTCACTTAACAGTTTACTAAATGATAGAAAAGGGGTCACGTAAGGCCTTAATCAAAACACCAGGTCAAAATTGTACTTGTTTCATACTTTGGTTTATTAACTAAACACCTTCCTGTCATCCTCAGTAGAGCTACACAGCTACAATTAGGTTTGAGATCATTTCCAAACAGTCACCAAGTGAACTTTTTCTTATCTTGGTCACAGTGATTGCTGTAATTCTCAGCTTGACATTGTGTTTAGTGATAATTAGAAAATAAACATCAATATAACATTGTCATTGTAAGCAGGCATTTATCTTAAAGCACTGATTTACCTGCTGAATCCAGAGCTGCTAGCAGACACACAAATCTACTTTTAAATATAAGTTTTTTTTAATAAGCTTCCACATTAAAACAGTTAAGCAAACAATTCATTGCTCTCTAGTTTGTCATACTCATGAGAAAATCCCTTTACAAGGTATTGAACAGCTGCCAAAAGCCAAATGTTCAACTTTGTCCTCAATTTTCTGGCTGATTTGAACTTGAGGTTTAAACATACAGGTATCAGTGTGTGAGTGTTATCTTTCTGTCTCACTAAATCCACACACGTTATAAGATTCTTCGTTGGTGTAATCGAACAGTAGCATGAGTTCTTTGTCTTTAATCGGTCCCGTCTGTCTTCCAGGAAGTCCAGGCATCTGCCGTGATGTGCTACTGGCTGCGTGGGCAACGCATCTCCAACATCAAGACGGTGGCGTGGATGATAACTCTGAGCGACGCGCTGCACAACTTCATTGACGGTTTGGCCATCGGTGCCTCGTTCACTGTGTCGGTTCTGACCGGGTTCAGTACGTCCACCGCCATCGTATGTGAGGAGTTTCCCCATGAGCTGGGTGAGTCTTCAACCCTGTTCAACCTCATTCATTACAACATTACAACCTTGTACTGTCAAACATTACTCAAACCTACCGAAGACCAGAGAGGTTTTTTTTCTGGTGTTCAGTTTTCTGATGTAAATTGTTTTCTCACCTGTTAAAACTGGTGAAGATAGAAGTTTTTGGCTTCTTTCAGGTGAATTTCTTCATTCATTGTAAACACAAAGTACAGATCAGATATGTTAGCAAGTTGTTTAACATTACTGTCATTTCTTTCTTTTGGCTAGAGATTTATTTTAATCAGATTATTAGAGAAATTAAAACTCACTCAAGAAAACATGAAGATGCTTTTAGACCTTTTTAGAACATGTTGTAGTGATGCACTTCTGCCTCTTGTGGCCAGAATGAGAATTACAACAACAAACACTTCAACAGATAAAAAGAGAAGTAGGTTAGAAACAAATATTAAACTTTTTTTTTACCACTTGTTTTTTAGATGAAAAAAAAAACATTAAGGAACTTTTTTTCAACTATTCTTAATTCATAAACTCGGAGATAAAACAATTTAGATCATTTAGTAAATGTATCACCAGAATGTTTTTTCTCACTTGCCTCTCAGGGCTTCCATACAAACCCACAGATCTGAAAAGTTCCCAAATTACCAAATAGTTCAGGCTGAATTTTGGGGAAATGTGTACATAATGACACAAGACATCTATAATATTTCCATTTGGTGGCCTAATACAGGCATAAAGAAAGTCTCAAGTTTGAATCTTTAAATCAGTGTGAACCTCACATAGCTCCAATGAAGAGCCAGAAGAACCTCACACATAATAATAATAATAATAATAATACACATAATAAAGTAATTTAAGGGGAAATAAAACAGGAAAACTAGATTTGAAGGGATTAAAAGCAGGTTATCTTTTTACTCTACTAAAATCTATGATCTTTACTGACCTCCGTTGACACGCTGCAGAATTGCACCAAATCATTGATCTCCCAGGATTTGTTTTCATACACTGAATACAATAAAGTATTATAATGTAATACAGGTCATGTAAGAAACAGAGAGGTGTTAATAAATCGTAATTGTCTTAATTTGTGGTAAAATTATGAGCAGCCCAGTAGGAAAAATACTTCACGTCAGCAGCGTGTCACTTTGATTATATCGGGGTTGTTTTACAGTGACAGTTGACACAAGTTTCAACAATCCTACGACAAATTAATGTAGTTTAATTCAACAAAATCCTGTAACAGGAAGAGCTGGTAAACAAGATCAATGTCTTTGTTTTAAGTGATATCAAAAAGTCTTTTAGGCAATCTGTTATATTACATGACTACTAACTATTTTACAGAGAAAAATGGGCTTTTAAAATAATGTTCAAACTGTCCTTTTTAACTTATCAACCTTTGTGTTTTGTTCCTGTGCAGGTGACTTTGTTATCCTGCTGAATGCTGGTATGAGCGTCCCACAAGCCATTTTCTTCAATCTGCTGTCAGCGGTGTCGTGTTACGTCGGTCTCGTCTTTGGCATCCTGCTCGGGAGCAACTTTGCCCCAAATGCAATCTTCGCCATCGCAGGAGGAATGTTCCTGTACATTGCGTTGGCAGACATGGTGAGTTAGACTGAAAATACCTGAGGATACTACTGCATGTGTAGATTGCTGTTTTGCTGTTTGTATTTCTACAAATCTGGTCTACTTTTGTTCTTATTCTATATGTTTTTGTTATGTTCCAACAATGTGTTAGTCCATCTCTCAGTGCCGAACCTGTTGTTTCTTACAGTAGATGTAAATCTTTAGATCAAAAATACATACTTTTCCTCTTACCTGTAGTGCTATTTATCAGTCTAGATTGTTTTTGTGTGTGTTCCTGAGTTTTTGAGGTATTAACTGTAGAGATGTCTCATAATATGGGACCAGATGGCACTTGGCATGTGGTGCTTAAAGTGCCAAAAACTACATTTGAAAAACTGTAGCTTTCCATAAATCAAGCCTAGGTTACACGAGATAATCCACAGACCTTGTTGTGAGCAGTTTCATGTAAGAACTACTTTCTCTTTATGTATCCATCAAGTGTGAACTTAACTGTAAATGTTGTGTTTACAGCTTGTTGGGCTGTTAACATCAACGAAAGCTGGTTTACAATTTCAAAATACACCTTGTTGTTGGTAAAACAAAAGCTCAGAAATGTTCTATAAAAGCTGGGAACTGTACAATTTACATATTTATCCAGTATTGTAAAGATAAATATTCTAAAAATGAAAATATCAAAATATTATAGAGGAAAAAAATGTGTTTGTTCCTAACTTGTTAATCAACCCTCAGATTTATATTGTGAGTGTGCACAGAGGGACATTGTTCGAAAGATCAGTTCATTGTCGTTTTTTGGCGTTTTCATGTGATTTGTTGATAATAAGAAAAATATGCTTTATGTTAAGTCTTAAATTATGACCTATCCAATCCAATCCAACTCGCACTTTATTTATAAGCAGCGATTTCAACAAAAGCACAAGGTTCCAAGTCTGCACAAAAAGATATAGCGAATAAATAAGATAACACAAAGAAGCAACAGTAATAAAAAGATGAGGGTACACCAGTAAAAATAAAAGCAATAAAATAAAATAAAACCCGCAGAAGGCCAATCAGCAGTCAGTTAATAAGGATATTGATCATTTCCATTTTTATTGCCGGACACAAACCAACAGATTCTTGTCTTAAATACTATAACTTCCCTTTATGTTGACTCTTGAGAACAATTTGGCCAGTGTATGTCTGTTAAAGGATTGTGCACGAGACAGATATCTGATTGTCCTTATTCTTCGTCCCAGTTCCCGGAGATGGACAGCATAGCACGGGAACAGAAGCGGACCTCCACCAAGATCATCTTCTTCCTGATCCAGAACGCTGGGCTGCTCACCGGGTTTACCATCATCCTGCTGATCACCATGTTCGCGGGCGACATCAACCTGGGCTAGAAGAGGGAGGGAAGACGGAGGCAGACAAAACTGGAAAGAAAAATGAATAAATAAATGAGCTGCTTACGTCTCTGCTCACTCGGCTGGGCGGGAACATGAATGTAAAATTTTGTACGAAACAAAACCAAATGTTTTGAAGGACAACTAATGCTTTTATATGCTAATTTAGAGGAGTGTTTACTCCGTATAAGAAGGGAAGATTTTTACAATCATTTGATGTATGAACTCTAGTCAAATTTGTTTTAAGGAGACAATAAATTATTTTTTCAGTCTTCATTTAGTGTGAAATATCTTACATTTATTGTACCTCACTGGTTCTTTAGTATAACATATATAAGCTGTGTTATTATGACGACAGTTGTTTTTTTTGCAGCAGTGTTTGACCTCTGAGTTTTGTGACCTCTTTGACCTTCACTGGTTCTTTATTGACTATAGAATATATGATGCTGTCTGTCAAACTTTAAACAATGTGAAGATGTTAATAATGAAACCAGTGGGACTCCGACCGTAAAATATAACAAAAAATAACCACTGCGACTACAAATGACGTGAACTTTGAAGAGCTTTGTCACCAGGTGGTATTTGATCTACGTCGGAAGTCTATACATATTAATTACATTATGCATTGTTTTCCCCTCAGGGTTTTATTACATTGAAAGCTTCTGTCAGTGGCTGTATGATTAGTACAATAACCAACATGGAATACCAGAAATACCAAAGATAGAATTAAAGAAACTTTTCAACAGTAAAAATGGACCAATTATGTACAATATGTGCAATCTTCCGTAATGTACTTGAATCTTTTGACCTTTGTTCCTTCACTGTAGTCTGTGTTTTCTGTTCAATTCTCAAAATCAGACTATCAAATTTTACTTTACAAAAACTGCTGGTAAAGTTCAGAAATTCTTTTAAAAATATTTTGTGTATTAAAGATTTTTTTATGTAATTTTGTTTATTACTTATAAAGGTAAAAAAAAAAATTAATACATAGTATTGTGTGGATATCTTTTTTTATAAAATAAAAATTGCCAACCAGGTGGTGGCAAGATAAATCTGAAGGGTTATAAGATGATAAACAAGATAGAAAAGCAGAAAAATATATTTATTCAGACTGTCCTCTTTTCTTGTGAATTTATTGGATTAATGGATCTTTTTTTGGGTCTTTAATAAATTTTCAATTTAAACAGGAAGAAAATCTCTTTTTGGTTGAAGTGGTAACAACCTGTAGACATACAAGAGGTTTGCATTTGTTTTCTTAAAGGGTCACGAGATAAAAAGGATTGGAAACATTTCTGTAGAGCAGTGGTTCGCAACCAGGGGATTTACCAAAGCTTCACATGAGAGTCGCAAAGCCTTTTTTATATTAAGGTGTGTAAGAAAACCTAAGAAATATACACAGTAAGCCTATATGTCAGCATTTCAAACACTGACTTCGTTAAGAAGAAAAAAAAGCCTATTAAGTATGTATGATTGTTAAAAAATAAATAATACAGACAGAGAATTGTACAAAAATATCAGGAAAACTAATCTGATTAATATTCACTGGAAATAAATCTGCTCAATATTGTTTTACACAAACTTCCTGCAGTTATTAAGTTAAATGTTTGGTTTTATTATAAAGTTTATCAGTTGTTTTCCACTGTTATTGTTATGTAATATGAATTATCTATAAAATATGTATTGTCAGGGGTCATCAGTTCACTGAATGATAAAAAAAAAGGTAAAATAATGAGTAAATTGTGTTTAAATTCTTTACAACAATAAAATATCACCAATGTGACCTTTCTCCTTCTGCAGCGGCCAATCAGCATTAGACAGGAAGTGGTGCAAGATGCGTTCACGCACACCGTGTGGCTCGTAATTATCTACATCCGTGGTAAAAATATGAGCAGCAGAGCGGGAAAAAACACTTGACTCACGTCTGTTATATCAACATTGTTTTACAGAGATAGTTACACAGGTTTCAACAACCCAAGAGCAAAATGTGTGTAGTTTAATCCAACGAGATTTCATACCAGAATAGGCGGGCGTTTAAATCCCCCATTCTTTAGTCGTCCCTTGAATGCAGCACAGCCGATGTTTGGGAAGTACACAAATGAAATGAGACGATTTTGAGTTGAGGGAAGTTTTTCTGCGCTCATCACGTCCAGACACTGCTGCCAACCACTCAAATAAAACACGTAAGTCTTTATTTATTAACCTTTTTGTTCCTCCGGAGAATATCGGAGCAAATCAAACCAAAACTATCTAATCTGCCTAGCGCTGCAGCTAGCTGATGCTAACAAATAAATAAATAATCTGAACGTTTCCTTGAAGGATTTACGACGTTTGTGCTCTGAATTATTCATTTAGTTTAATGTTTAACGATTACATGTTACAGTTGGTCAATAGATAGCGACGTTAGCATTCATATAATAGCCTGGTGTTTGGTTTAAAAGCGTTATAAGTGAGTGTCATGTGATGTTTGAGGGTCATTGTGCTGTTTTTACTGTACATTGTTGGATTTTCCCAGTGTTTCTCTCACTTCTGCATGATACTGGATGGACCTGGTGATTATTATTGATTTAGGTTTATTTATTTGCGACCAGTTTAAAAGATGCATACAAAATGACAAAGATATCAATAATGGCATTCAGTGCAGAGAGAGACAGAAAAACTTCAAAATTAACATTTTAAAAAACACAGAATAGAGGAAATAATATGAATAGATTAAAAGTGATGGTAAACTAATAATGAGACACACAAATAACAGCAACAGCATTAATCCCAATAATATAAATTAAAGCTCAAATGTAAGAAGTGTGTGTTTCAGTTGTAAAACAGCAATTAAATGGCCCTTTAAGCATCTTTTGTAATATTTCACAGAGGAACAGTTTTTTTTTGCCAATTAGAAAAAGCTATAACATAATTGGGATCCCCTAAAACGGATTGAAAATTGATCTCTTTAGGAAGATTGGTGAGTTGAGTGAGAATTAACCTGTGAGTTTGCTTGAAATAAGGTCTTGAACTCCTCCTGAATATTCACTTCACATGAATTTGTCTTATAAATAAAGACACACAAACGTTAAAGACACTCTTTAATGTCGAGTTTATAAAAAAGGATAAAAGACAGTGTTACATAAGTGGAAAAAGTCCACACATACCTACATTTACTAGTTTAAATCAGCCTGTTTATTGCCTGGCACAGTTTATCGGTCTAATAGCTTCCCAGAATACGAGATAATTCTGTTTTTAACGTGTAAAATCTCTAATTGGCAAAGTATTTCCTGTGAAAAAGTCTCAGTACTCTAAAAGTATAAAGTTTCACACGTTAGATTATGAAAGTGCAACTACTTCTTCTTCAGTACAGTGTCTGGCACTGAGCCCAAAGTGATGTCTAGACTACAGTTTAGAGATACAGGAACAAGTTTCAACAGACTGTGACTCTTTTTTTTTTTCTCACATTTTGACCTCTTTCTGTTTTTAAAAAGCAGGGCTGAACCATGGCCGATATCGAGATCCGGAAGTATCAGGACGACGACGCCGAGGCGGTGAAGGAGATCTTCACCCTGGGGATGAGCGAGCACGTGCCGTCGTCCTTCATGCACCTCCTGAAACAGCCGCCCACCCAAATGGTGCTCATGTGCCTGTTCTGCGCTCTCATGACGAGCTCCAAGTCCTTCCTGCTCCCCATCCTGGCCGTCACCCTCGTCATGGCCGCGGCCCGGCAGTTGGTCGTCTACATGTTCAACAGATACATCGACACGTCCCTCAAGAAGGACCTGAACAACATCGGCGAGACCTACCTGAATCAGAAGGACTCGTGTTTCTGGGTGGCGGAGAGTGACGGACGGGTGGTCGGCTCGGTGGCTTGCCTCCCTGCTGAGAATGCGCCTGGGTGCCTGGAGTTGAAACGCATGTCTGTACGCCGCAGCCACCGCGGCATGGGCATCGCCAAGGCTTTGTGTCGGACGGTGGCTGATTTTACTCGAGACCGGGGTTTCGCGGCGGTCGTCCTGTACACCTCCGTGGTGCAGACGGACGCTCAGAAGCTGTACGAGCACATGGGCTTCCAGAAGATTAGAGAGTTCGTCATTCCCGAGCTCGTCGCCAGGGTCACGAACTTCACTTTGTTTGAGTACAGACTCGATTTACAGAGAGACGGGAAAAGGGACTGAGGCTGTGGGACATTTCAGGGCGACATTACCATCCACTCACCCAGTTTCTATGCTTACGTTTATCCAGCATGCATTGCAGTTAAAGGCAACCAAATACTACAGGTCAGGTGACAGTATCCACAAGAGGAACTGTTTACTACACACACTTACAGGAAAAGGTCAGACATTGTTACACACACGACGACGGATTGATTGATTATTATTAGAAACCTTTCTTTTTTAATAGTTGATAGAAATATCTGTTATGTCCGAGGTCATTGTTTTTAAGGGTTTATGTCGAGTTGAGATTCTTGAAATTCATTTCATTATTTAATTTTGTAAAGGATTTGATTTCTACGTGACATTCAGAATAAAATCGGTAGATCTGAACGTGCTGCTGCAGTTCTGTAATACTCTTTATTTATTTGTTGTTGTTCACGATCACTTTTAAGTCCAGTGTGTAACATTTA